GCTTATTGATCATTCATGTTTCGTGATATGCCAGGTCCTTCAAGATTGCCTGCACTGGCATTGGGGTCCACCCTCCCCTGGACCTCTCTAACCAGATCATACACTTCCGGGCCACTGCTCTAACTGATGTTTCCACGGCAACCATTCACGTGATCAACTCTCACACCAGCATGAACGAGTACACGCACCCAGTGCCTAGGATTGGAAAAGGTTAGCACTGGTTGCCATGGTTACTGTGGCAGTTTCCTTCTCTATTTTTTTCTTTCTTTCACATTTCCTTTATTTCAAGAAACAGTTGTATTTTGAGCACCTTTTAACTTCAAAAGATCAAAAGTTTGCACAAAAAAAATTAATTAATAATATAATAAATAATAAAATTATAATTGAACACAAATTCTAGAATACCTTATAGAATACTAGTGGTAAAATTATTTATTTATTTGAATAGACAAATACAGTAAGTAACTCTACATTGATGTTCTAATCACATACTGTCTACCCACATCCACAGTCAATTAGAACCCCTCCCTGTCCATTTCTAGGTGCCATCGCTCCAGTTGGTCCTACTTCCTTCGAGTTTGTTGTTCCTGAGGGAGCACCCCTTACTGTGTCCCCGGCTGTGGGAACTGTGGAACCTGGCAAAGTAAGTGGACTCATATACAGGAGCGAATTTAGGGCGTCTTCTGGGTCTTCCAGAAGACGGTCAGATTTTCACATTTACACGGACGGGTATCTAATTTTACTCTGTCGGAAGACGGTCAGAAATGGAGGATGGATCAACAAAGATGATTTGGAAGACTGTCAGAAAATATTTCTGGATTAGCCCCTGCATATAAGTATGAGTATGATATACAGTGGGAAGGAAGGCAGTGTGTATATACAGGCAAACATGCCTGTATTGCATATATGCTGAAGAAATGCAGAAAAAAAAACAACAACCTAACTCATGTGAACTCTCATTGTGCAGTATGAGTGAATTATTTGTATGTATTATACATGTTGTTTTTACCTTTGACATAAGGAAAATGAACTGTTTTATCTTGTCTACAGTAAATGATATTATTATTTTTAAAAAAATAATAATAATAATGATAATAATTATTATATGAAAATTATTATTATGAAGCAATGCCGCGTAGTGCTGAGCTTCTCTCCTAAGTTGAGGGAGAGTGAGATAGCTGACAAGATGGAGACGGTGAGACTAGAATGAAACAGCAATACTTCCGACAGTTCATCTGTGTGTGTACACAAGACAATCTTTCAATCTTCTTATTTTATTCTGTTTTGATGATTTTTGATATATTTTATTATGATTTAGTATTTCAGGCTTAAAGTGTCAACTGCCCTGTGAACTTTGATTATTCTTCTTTTAATTTTTTAAAATCTGAATGAATAAGTTCATTCTTTGAGTGGATCTCACTTTGTGTTGCAGTCTTATTTTTTTTTTTTTTTGTTTGTGTGCATTCTCTGTAGAGTTGCTGTGTACGTGTGCGCTACACACCGTCGCTGCCAGACTCGGTGGTCAGGAAGGAGGCGGTGAGAATGGCCGTCAGGGAGCTGCAGGCCAAGGCAGAGAAGGAGTACCAAGAGGAACTGCAGAGAGAGAAGGAGAACCAGGAACAGGCAGCTGTGAGTATCTGGAGAGAGAGAGAGAGAGAGAGACAGAGACAGAGACAGAGAGGGGGGGGGCAACAGGCTGCTGTGAGTATCTGGAGAGAGAGAGGAACAGCTGAGAGAGAGAGAGAGAGAGAGAGAGAGACAGCTGAGAGAGAGAGAGAGAGAGGAACAGCTGAGAGAGAGAGAGAAAGAGAGAGAGAGAGAGAGAGAAAACCAGGAAGAGAGAGACGCGAGAGAGAGAACCAGGATGAGGCAGCTATAAATATCTGGAGAGAGAGATGGTTGAGAGAGAGAGAGAGAGAGAGTTGCCTGAAATATATGGTCATCCAAGGTCAGAGTTACTCATGGGGAATTAAGGAAGCAATTCTTAGCTATTTTTAGTGCAAAAAGTCAGTTTTCCTTATGACAGACAACAAGGAAAGGATAGAATTGAAGGAGATCATCTAAGTATCAGGAATAACCCATGCTGTGATGTTTGATCAGGACTTTGGACCAGCATTTATTTTAACTTTAAGTTGTTTGATGTGCAGTGGACATCTTTTTTTTTCTTTTATTTTCTGATTCATAATTTTGTTAGTACGTGTTTTCCTTTTTTAATTTTAAAGTATACAGTCTGACAAGCATTTTAAACATGATGATATTATGATTTTTATATCAGCTGAATATTACAAGTAAAGCAAATAAATAAATAAATGTCAAAGTAAGAGAATAAAACTTTATCAAAAAAATGTGGCAGCTGCACCAAAATTATGATTAACTACCATATATAAAGTTTTTGACTGAGTTTGTCAGATCATTGAGCATTTGAATAAAAATCATTATTTAACAATATTTTGTAATCAAAAGTTCAAGTGTGGAATGATTAAGGAATCCAGAGATTGGTTTTAATACATTAGGATTGACATTGTTTAATTTCCACTTCCACAACTTAATTCCCAGGTACTTGCAAAGGTGCCAGGAGGGGTGAGTTATATTTAATACCTTGTCACGGCTCACTTTAGTCCACCACTGGTTACAATAGACCATCTTCAGTCACAAAAGTCCACCAGGGGTCACTTTAGTCCAATACTGGTCACAATTGACTGCATTGGTCATTCTAGTCCATGAGGGGTCACATTAGTCCACAACTGGTCACAATGGACCCCCACTGGTCACTTAAGTCCACCAGCGATCACTTCAGTCCACCACTGGTCAGAATGGACCACCAGTGGACACTTTCGTCCATCTGGGGTCACTAGAAATTCACCAGCAATCTGCTTTGGGCAAGCATTTAACTTTTTCCTTCTGAAGCATGGGACAGAAGCTGTCTACTTCAGTTCTTTATTCTCTTTAATTAACATTTATTTTGTAGTTATCATTTTCGTTGGTCACACATTTTATTTTACATAGATCTAGCTTATTTCAGTTTTTGGTAGAAAATATCAGGCATTTGACTGTTAAGTGATCCTTTTTTATTTTTTAAAGCAGTTTTTGGTGATCTACTTCAGTACTCAAAGTATTCACAAGTCACTGGGAACCAGCTTTCACATGCTTAATATTTCTGTCACATGCCTTTCACATTACATACAAAATGGTGGACATACACATTGCATTCGTTGATACTTTATTTATTTTTAGTTTTAAATATCATCCTGATGATTTGTGCAATGGTCAGGTCTCCATGGCTGCATTCACAACAGCAGACTAACAGATCCACGGATCGAATATGTCAGCTAGACCCACTTGAATGCTTGTCGCATAATCTGCACAGGGAAACTTTTCAGTGTTTATAAGGGAATTATGCAGCAAGCTTTTATGTGGGTTGCCATATTTGATCTGTAGATATGTTAGTTTGCTGTTGTAAATGCACAAACCCTAGCATATTAACTGTGGATCGATCTATCTCCAAGGGGATTCAAGCTAAATAGCAATTAACTTAAGTGGCTTAGATGTCTGTCACACCTACTGAAGCTGTTAGGGGGTAATTAATTATCATTTAGCAGCTTCAGTAGGCAGACATCTAAGCCGCTTAAGCTGAAAGCAATTTAGCAAGAAACCACTTGGAGATGGATTGATCCTGTTAGATCCATCTAGGTATGGGAACCCAGTCTTATGGTGCATATCATTGCAGATGTACCCAGACCTGTCACTGTTTTTTTCCATGCTGGCTTCCCAAACTTATATGTAGACTCCATCAGATTAGTATTTGTTGAAAGAAGTATTTCACCTTATATTTCTGTTTTAGTTTAAAAATGTACTAGTATTTTGAAGACTGTTTCAGTGTTTGAAGGAGATTTTGGTGTTTGGTAATTCATTGTAAGTGATACTGTTGAATGATATTGGTATGCCAGACTGGTTACAGGCAAAAGATTACTTTGAATTTATAAGTCTCCAATTATTTTGTAAGTAAAATAAAATGTTTTGGTTTTTATTTTGTGGTTCACCAAAATTAGTGAATTTAACAAAATTAATTGTCATTTAAATTTAAGAATGCTATTGAATATAATTATTTGTATCAAGTGGAATGAGGAGCAAAGTATTCTTTGCAGTTATTTGATATATTGATGATTGGCATTAATTCCTCGCTTTGTTCATCATCTTCAGAAAAGGGTAAGGATGTAGCCATGTTGGTCCACAGATTGCAGTTCCGTTTCTTTGCACAACTCTCTCATTTTGTGTGAATGAATAGCAGTTACCATTTTGTTTATTATGAGTCTACTTTTCTATTTCTTATTTACTTTATTTTAGTTTATTTTTGTTTTTGGGCAGTGGATGATTTCTAACTTTTGTCTCGATTATCATTTAAAATGTCTTTCTCAAAACCAGCAAATGATACTTCTGGGTGGACAGCATGCTGTGTATCTGAGACAAGAAGAGTGATGTTTGACTTCTCCAAGCACAGTGAACACCTCCTGATGATGTTGATGTGGGAGTTACAACATTATTTTGATTTTCATTTTTATCGTTTTTTGACCACACCCTACAACCCTTCAGCAATTCTGTAAGACCTATTGTTCAGAAATGTGTTGTGATAGTGGTTATTGCACATTGGTTTTAAAATACCTGCTGTTGTTGATGGCATTGCACTGGGGGTTCCTAAAGTCTGGACCCATTAGAAAAAGTCCTAATATATAAATATTTATGATATGTAGAATTAACTTACTTTCTTTGGTCCTAAGGAGTCAACATATATTGTTTCATCATTATTTATATTAATATTAATTTTAATTCATCTTTGAGTACAGTATATTGTATCAATATTAGAAGTAGATAAAAATTAAACTGTAAACATGCATATTTCTCAATGTGTCCAGACTTAACACACACCCTGTGCTATGTAAAGTAGACCCCCATATGCAATCTGTTCTCCTATGTGAATCTGTAACATACAAACAGTAGCACATGTGGGATGTGATGGTATGAAACTGACATTGTAGCATTATAATATTAGACTAGATAATTTCTAATGTATTCTAGATCTCTAGGGAGTGAAGTGCTCGAGTCATTAACATGTTATTGTCATGGAGGCATATTATTCTTAAAAGAATAGATATACAAATTTACTGTTTCAGTACCCTTAGCTAAATGAAAACTTTACAGCAATATTGCAGCAAGATAAAAGTCTGCAGCAACGAGTTTGCAGGAGTTTGCAAGAAGAGTTTTTTTGCTGCTAATTTGCATCAATATTGCATCATATTTGCTGCTGCTGACCTGATATTTAGCTAACTTAAAGGTCGTCCTTGTTTAAGTGGAGAACTACCATATGTCATATTGTCTGCTAAAAAAGATGGACCCATAACTTTATGAATTTGACGATTTAGAACCAAAAGGGCTAGTAGAAAAAGATATCCAACAGGGAAAAGTGGTATTTCCAAGGTTTTGAAAATTTCATGAAGGAAAATCATAAATGATAAGGAAAAAAAATGAAATTCTTGTATTTTATCTGTATTACAGAAAAAGAAAGGTCCTGCTGGTAAAGGCAAGCCTTCCCCTAAAGGCAAGCCAAAGGGTGGGGCTCCCTTGATGGGGGAGACAGTGCCCAGTGGACCAGCCCCTGTCAAAGCCCCACCTCCAGAGAGTATAGACACCAAGTAAGTACCTCCAGAGAGTATAGACACCAAATAAGTACTTGAAGAGAGTATAGACACCAAGTAAGTACCTCCAGAGAGTATAGACACCAAGTAAGTACTTGAAGAGAGTATAGACACCAAGTAAGTACCTCCAGAGAGTATAGACACCAAGTAAGTACAAGTACTATAAGCAGTATAAGACTGGGTTCCCATACCTAGATCGATCTAACAGGATCAAACCATCTCCAAGGGGTTTCTTAATTGCTAAATTGCTTTCAGCTTAAGCGGCTTAGATGTCTGACGTGTTTACTAAAGCTGCTAAATGATAATTAATTACCCCCTAGCAGCTAGAGTAGGCATAACAGACATTTAAGCCGCTTAAGTTGATAGCAATTTAGCAAGAATCCCCTCTGAGATAGATTGATCAACAGTTAGTACAATAGGGCCTGGGAATGGTCCCTAAGTGACACAGGCACTGAAATAATTGCAGTAGGCTTAATATGCCAATCACATTAATGGTATTCTATCTTTTGTGTTATACAAGAATGGCAAGTTATTTATGTATCATATGATATAATTTCAGATCTGATGCATATGCACAGGCCCAGGCATCTCTGCTGAGAACCTTCAAGTCAGAGTTCAACAGCTATGTCATCCCCTGCTATGTGGCCTCGGGAAAGACTGGAAACCCTGGGGAACTGCCTTATAGGTAACTGAGTGAGAATCATAGACCGCATTCAGAACAGTGGACTAACTAGTCTGAGGGTCAAATATGGTAACCAACTACAAAGCTTGCCATCTAATCCACTAATTGCCACTGCATAGATATCCAGTGGAGAAGTATTCAAGTGGGTCAGCAATATTCCACCCTCGGACTAGTTAGTCAATTGTTTTGAATTCGACCATAGAGTGCATTCAAAACAGCAGACTAACAGATCAAATATGGTGACCCACTAAAAAGCTTGCCGCTTAATTCCCAATTAGCCACTGAATAGATACCCTGCAGGGATTATGTAACAAGCAATCAAGTGGGTCGGCCATATTTGATCCACAGATCTGTTAGGCTTTATTCCCACAGATTTTAGATCGATCTATCCCCGCGGGGAGTCTCACTAGATTACTGTCAGATAATCTGGCTTATATGTCCGTCCCGCCTACTACAAGCTGTAAGGGGGTAATTCACTTTCGTGTCCGCCCGGCTGACAGTTATTTAGCGTGAACCCCCAGGGAGTTAGGTCGATCTAAAGTAGGTTGATCTAATCTCTGATGGGGTGTTAGTCTGTTGTTCTGAATGCACTCATAACAAGACACATGATACCTTCTTTAAATTCACTTATCAGTATAGATAATAAGATAAACTCAATTATTTTTTAATGAAAATATCCTCAAGTCTTTTTTTTTTCTTCTTTTTTAGGGGGATAAAAATTTAAATATCATATTAAAATTAATAAAGATAATTATAATTTTATTTGATATATTAACATTCAATATGTTTTTTTGTTAGACCTTGTCTTCATTAATTTGATATATATATATTTGATTTATAATTATATCGATATTAATAGATATAAATTTACTTAATTCGTTATATTTGTAGGTTCCTTTAAAATGAGCATACAAATTTAATGCTGAAAGCATTTTGCATTCTTTATATATATTATATAATTTTATATTATTATACAATTTTTATGAACCAGTAAATATGATAAAAAAATTAATTTGGCCTTCAGCATCCACAACACACTGTACCTGGAAGTGCACTGCCCCACGGTCAAGCCCCCTCTGGTGGTCATCTCAGACAATGGCCGGACCACAGTGGACTTTGGTGATGTCTCCATTGGCCAGACGGTCATCAAGACAGCCACCATTCAGAATATATTTGAGGATAACATTAATGTAAGTTGCTGGAACTTGGATATGATAGAATAGTACTGCTTTTAAACAGCTAAGACAAATAGGTTGTCAATGAATTTTTAAATTAGCAGTATTTTTATTCTTTGATGTACATATACTTATATTAACGCAAAATTATTAAAATATTCCATTTTAACATTTGACATAGACCATTTATTGATCTATTAAAATATTAAAAGTGAACATATACAATGAGCAAATTTGTGTACCTATATCCCATCATGCATGGTGTTTCCTGTAGGTCACGGCCTCTCTCCTGGATCCAGTCGGACCATTTGTTCTTCTGAACGCTCTCAGAGAGCTGGAGCCTGAGGAGTCACTCACTGTTATCTTCAGCTTTACCCCTGGTACTGGCAGAGTGGTGAGTAAAAGGAGAGAGAGAGAGAGAGTGAGAGAGAGAAGAGAGACAGAGAGTGTGTATATTTGAGAGAGAGAGAGAGAGAGAGAGAGAGAGAGCAAATCTTAGCAATTTGAAGGAAAGCCTGACAATTACATGCAAGTCTGTATTATTTATATTTATATTTCTCAGTACTAATAGTATTATCAGTAATATTATATTCTTATATTTATATTGCTCAGCAAATCGCTATAGTACATGTTAAGTTTATACACAGTACCTCTCTGTATGAGTGGAATAATTTGCGTAAGACAAATACCTGTAGAAGCACTGGATTCATTTTTAAAAAGGAGCTAAAAACACATTTTTAAGAATTTTTTCTTAGTGATTTTGTTCATGTTTTACTTACGATAGCTGTTTTGGTTATTATTATTATCATTCTATCTCAGTACCAGGAGGTTCAGGAGCTAAGGACAGGCATCTCCACACTGTACCTCAACCTGGTTGGTCAGGGGGTCAGCCCTAAGGTCAGCCTCTCTTTGGACACAGACCACTTGGACATGGGAGCCGTGCTCGAGAATGAGTATGTGGAGAAGACCTTCAAGGTATGGGTGTAGTTTACTATTGAATTTACCCTGTAACAGGAGGTAAAGATTGTTTTTCCTTTTAATGAACATGGCTGCGTTCACAACCTAGTTGATCTGCATTCTAACTGATCCGTGTCTTTAATATGGTGTGCACTTGAAAGCATGTTGCTTGATCCCGTAATGGATTCCCTGCCTTCCACACGCTCCATCCCTGCAAGGGCAGAGCAGTTTAGTCTTTAAAATTATAAGGGGATTATGAGGCATGCTTTCAAGTGGGTCGTGCCATATTTGATCCGAGGGTCAGTTAGTCTGCAGATCAACTTGGTTGTGAAGCCAGACTACGAAAGGTGTGATTTGGTGGTCTTTTTTCAGTAATTATGTGGGAAGTAAATGTTAATGTTCTGTTTTCTTGAAGTCATCTGTTATAATAAGAAGTATGTTGTCATGATGAAGTTTTGATTCATGAAAATGTGTTATATTTAAAAACAAAACAATTTACTTTTTATAATCAGAAATACGACAAAACTAGAACAAAGTGCTTGACAATATCTGCTTAGTAATTTGATTAAGTTTGTCACAATATTTTTTTTTATCTTGTAATATGGTATTTGACTTGTTTGCAATGTAACATTTATATCAACGTGTCATACAGTAGACCAAATGCATCCAAGTAATAAACTATAATTGTTTGTATTGTTATCTGCTACAGATTAAGAACACATCCACGCTGGCTATAGACTTCTCCATCAAAATGGACAGCAACTCTCTGCTGAGACATGCCCTCACTCAGGGCATACCGCAGTTTGTACGCAGGGACCAGACACAGAAAGTGAAAGTTGGTATGTAGAATTGTATCTTTAATTAAAGAGCTACTTTCTGTTACTCCTACTTTCAAAATGTATCTGGAATTGAAAATGGATACCCCAAGCAACGTTTTGAAAGCTTAATATTTGTATAGTTAATGGATATTAAGTTAAGTACAACATATGTGTATAACTATCTGCACTGTCATCTTATAAGCTGTAGGTTTTCATGTATTTCTTATGTTGTTGTTGTTGTGAATCCAACTATGAATGTTTTAAGTAAATAAATGAGATAAAACTTTGCACACTCTGTGTAAAAGTTATTATTATGTTAAGTTACAACAACTACAGTCTTACTCACTGACTACTTGGTAGGAAGTAGTTGTCGTATGACAAGTCCACATCACAATCTCATATTTTGTTACTTTAAATTTGTCAAGAATTCTTAAATTTCAGCCTTGTTATTTTTTGCCTTGACAGGTGTCCAAAACTTCAATGGCCAGCGCGTGTTTGACTGCGTGCCGTGTGAGGGGACCATCGCCCCTGGCAGCAGCACTGAGATCATGATGACGTACGCCCCAGACCATGCCAGTGTGAACTACTTCGACACAGTTAGGATACAGCTGTTTGGAATGGTAATTGAGGCTGGTCTCCTATTGTACATAGCAGAGTGAATAGTTGGTTTGGATGTTTAGGGCCTTCGCTTATGATTAGCTTGTCATGTGTACAGTAATTTGTAAGGTTTCTACATGTATAGACAAATTCTTCTTTTTTACAAGATACCCTTCTTTCATTTTCGGACATTCTGTTGTGCCCTTGCATAACAAAATTTGTGGACACACTGTGTTGGCATTATTAAGTCTTTCACCTAGGGCATAGTTTTATTCAACATAAATATTATTCAGTATGGTTATATTTCCAGGAAGAACAGCATTCCTTTCAAGTTCTGGGACAGTGTTTCCCTCACATCATGTACGTGGCTGTCGGAGATGAACTGATGCCAGATGTGGAGTCCCTCACGGTTCTGCCTGGGACTGAGGAGGAGGAGGGTGGGTAGTCAGCTG